CAATATTAAAGGGAGAGGGTGGAGGGAGGGGTGTAGAGTGATGAAGTGAGGGGGAAGTGATGGAGGGAGGTGGGACTGGTGGAGAATGAGAGGGGAGGGAGGGAGGGGATGTGGGAGAGGGTGTGGTGCAGAGTGAGGGAGGGGGGAGTGATGGGCATGGGGTTTAAGGGAGGGGGTGAGGGAGGAGGAGATAATGAAGGGGTAAGGGGATTGATGGAGGGAGCAATGGGGGAAGGGGTATGGTGGAGGGGTGAGCTATGGGGAATGGGGATGACGAAGGGAGGAAGGAGGAGCTCACCTCGGCTCGCCCTTGCCCGTGTCCGTTCACGCTCGTCTTCGTTTGTGGGCGTCGTCAACACGCTCGTGCGTGGGCGGTGGATGTTGTTGCGTGGGCGTTTTCGTGGGCGGTGGGCGTTTTCGGCGTACTTCGTGTGGGTGGTGGGCGTCATTCGTGTGGGTGGTGGACGTTTTGCAAGGGCGGTGGGTGTTTTCGTGGGCGGTGGGTGTTGTTGGTGTGGGCGGTGGACGTTTTGCGTGGGGGGGTGGGCGATTTCGTGTGGGCGGTGTCCGTTTTGCGTGGGCGGTGGACGTTATCGTCGTGGGTGGTGTCCGTTTTTCGTGGGCGGCAGACATTGTTTCGTGGGCGGGGGACGTTTTTCGTGGGCGGTGGGCGGCGGACGTCGTCTTCGTGGGCGTTGGACGTCGTTGGTGGGCGGTGGGCGTTGGACGTCGTTGGTGGTGGCCGTTGTTCATGGGCGGTTGACATCGTTGGCGGTGGGCGTCGTTCATGGGCGGTGGACATCGTTTTCGTGGGCGGGGACGTCGTTTGCGGTCGCTGGACGTCCGTGGGCGGTCGTTTTCGTGGGCGCTGGTCGTCGTTGGCGTGGGGTCGTTGACGTTGGTGGGCGCTCGTGGTGGTGGGCGCTCGTTGACGTTGGTGTGGTGTGTTGGTGGGCTGTTCGTGGTGGTGGGTCCTCGTGGCCGAGCAGATACGGCGAACGACGACCGGTGTCGTCGTTCGCCGTCTGGTTGCCACGTCGCGACGTGGCACCTGTGGTTTGTGTTAAAAAGGAGAGTGGGTGGGGTGGTTGTTCCCACTTACCTGGGCTGGGCCCTCGTCACGCGTCGTCAGCGTCAGCGTCGTCGTCGTCGTCGTCGTCGTTGTCGATGTCGCGGGCGGTCGTGGTTTGAAACGGTGGTGGTGGATGGTGATGGTGGTGGAAGGAAGGAAGGAACGACGAGGCAACGCTTCAGCCACAGCTGTCACGTTTGACGCGGCACGGCACGTGCCTAAAAGCGGTATATATATACTTTTAGTTTCTCTTATAATCATGCCTTCGTGGCTCAGTCGGCTTGAGCGCCGCTTACATTCACAAGGTCGAGAGTTCAATACCTCGAGATGTAAAAAAATCTATTTTACGTAAATATAGTAAGGACACTGTATTCTAATGGTATAATAGTCATTCATTCGTTCCATGGAATCCATATGGACTGCTCCATGGAATACATGTGGATATGCCTGCATTCCATACGGAATCTGATGGAATCCATGATGTCCAGGGAATCAGAAACTGGCTGTGTCCTCAGCCAACATTGATTCCATGGATTCCATATGGAATTCTTCATGGATTCCATGGATTCCACATGGATTCCATATGGATTATACCGGGGAAGTTAAAGACCTCATTGGCTCAGCCGAGGCGAACGGTCCGCTTAGGATTTCTCTCTAATATTAGATACTATGCCCGGGTTTTCGGACTGCACGGCAATCGTTCATAGTTTTTCTCTTTTGGCAGACTTCGGAATATTTCGCAAAGTCTAGTTTTCTTGGGTCAATGATGCCATGATTTGTGATGCGCGTGATGTGCATGATGTGTCCCTCCACATGACTCCTTGGATCATGCTTCGTAGCACGTGACCGAATGACTTCTCACGTCAGGTACGCATCGAGTTTCTACGCTCGCGCCTTTATCTTTAGAATTAATATCTTTTAATCCATAATAAGGTGAGACCCTGGTTTGGTGTAAACTCCAATACCCTGTGCGGGGGTGTCTTTACTCTAGAACACTCGGTAGTGTACTATTTCATGGTAGTGTAGCCTTTTATTAGACTTCGAGTATATTGAAGTGATTCGGTCACGAACCAACTGCAATTCCTACTGCCTAAGGCGTGCACATTTCTTGGATGTAGACTTTAATCGACTAGACCGGGTTGCATCTAACAATCCTTATGATCAATGTGACTGTATTTCTACTATAGGAGGTTTTATAGGAGAAATTGCTAAAATTCGCATTTTTACAGGTGTATTGTTACACTCCATATCAACTCCAAAGACGTAGGAGAGCAGATTCTGCGCAGATATTCTTCCCGCTACTGGTAGGCGCACCAATGAAGACATTTTCGTCTGTTGTATGCAGAACTTGGAGATCCTGGGTTTGGATCTTGTTGAAGGTCTGGATCGTCAAGGAGTATTCGAATTCCTTGTTGTGCAAGGTAAAGAGAGGTAGAGGCTGTAGGTCGAGGAGCAGAGTAGGTGGGAACTTTTCGCACAAAATAAGATATTTGAAAAAAGTGGGAAGCCGAGTTTCGGCATGAAGCCAGCAATCCAAGATGGTATAGGTGTAGTAGTTGGGTGAGATGGGTTCGAACATGGGCACAGTAAGTGTAATGTTATGTTCATCTTCCGCATATTGTTGACGAAGGATGAACAAGTCAGGGAAGAGTATCAACTCGCCATCCACATCTTCCACCGCGGTGAGGATGGTCTCCGCCATACCATGGATTTTTTCATCCCATCGAAAGTCAGGTATGATAGAAAGATCGATTTGAAGGATTGACCGAGTGATGGGTTGTACTTGCGCTTGGAGCCTAAAACAAGTTCATCAATGAGATACCCAAAAAGTCAGACATCAATAAGAACTACTGAAGCTCTGGGAAGCTATGGAAATGGTGCACCAGCCGTCCAGCGTCCAGTGTTAGGGATTTCGATGAGTTCACCAATTTCAGGACGGGGCCTAAATAACTTTGAGCAACGCGGCTAAAAACAAGGTTGACAAAGTGTACCAGATTGAAGTAATGATACCAAGGCTATAAAAGACAAGCATTGTCAGCAACGAAATGATAGGGGGAAAAATATCACTCACGAATTGTTTGCCTTCTGCCTTTCTGATCACTTCAGCAGGAACGCCCTCGAATTGACGAAGAGGCATCATTGAACCCCACCTGATATACTTGGTGAGCGTCGATGACCACAATAACTTAATTCCTCTTCTCAACCATCTTGCAAAGGTCGAGAGCTGCCTTAGCAGGTACAGCCCAGCTGTGTTTCAAACATTTCTCGAACATGGCCCTTAGGATACTATAATAGAAGCAATGTAGTGAGCACAAGTGGAAGGAAGCAGTTAATCAGTACATACCACCATGCAGATTGCTGCACAAAGACCATGTCAGTGACGAGG